TAAAAATGGTGATTACCTGCAATTGGTAGGCTAGTCTGATTGTTCATAGAGGTGCTTTAAGTGCAGTATCCTGGATCTATAATACAGAAATATGATCACGGAGGCTATTTCCTATTTGATGTCTTGTTATTCTTGTGGCCATGAAAACCACCAGCAGTATTGTTCAGTAAGTTATTTCCTATGTTTGTATGTCCATCATGTATTTAATTTCAAAAAGTCTTATCATCCTTATCATTCTGTTATGAAGATTGCTAAATCTAAGACATTCAGTGAGCTTATAAAGATGATGATTTAATAGGTGAATGTTCTCAGGTAAAAAGGACTGTACCAGATAGTCTCAGGTATAGAGATGTTTGTCAATCAGTACCAAATAGCGACCATAATAGTAATGATTGTATGCCGACTAATAATCAAACACAATCCCCAAAATTTATTCTCATTTAGGAAATAGAGTGTTTCTTAAGTGTAAGGGCTTTAGAAAAACCATAGAAACGTTTCTCCTAAATTCACTGAATTGCATACTACTGTTATTGTTAGTTAATGAAGGATACCATTTATTAGTTGAGTTGGATTGGATTACCTGGTTTGCTGGGAAAGACAGGCTTATTAGAAAGATCAGTAATTTATACTACTACAAAAATTCTTTTGTTCAGGACAGGAATGACCTAGTTTTGCCTTTTCTTTTATATCTCTATGAAACTCAGAGATACAGAAAGTAGGGCACAAGATACTGATGAGACACTTGCCCAAATAATGTGGCCAGTTGCTGTTAGGTTATTAACTAAGTCCTTATTCAAGGAACCAGTTACCAAGCTGAAGTGCTGTGGAATGAGAGAGCACATGCGCAAGCACAGTAAACAAAGTTGAGAATAGATATTCATATAAAAGGATTGACTTACAGTTTGGCTCACTTTTCATCTGTTATTATTATTGGTGTGCACGTATCTTAAATTGATTGCATTATGATGTTGAATGAACTCATTGTAGTCTGCTATTGAGATTGGTTGTAGACTGTGGAAGCGATAGCAAAGAATAAATAAAACATTTTTTGTAATTATAGCACACCAAGCCATTTAATGTTCTTCCACTGCGTATTTTGAAGTTGAAACCTCTTCGTTTTCTATGTCTCTTGTCAAAAATACGAAGCTTTAATATGCCAGTGCCGTCTATTCAAATGGAAAGAACCATTGAGATTTTTTTTTCCTTTAGAGCCTCATCTTTTTCCAGTGCTGTGGCTGTTCCCCCTGGCAAGTTCTGGCTGCATTCAAAATATTCAAATAAGATCGTCTGATAAGGCTGCCTGGTCTCTTAGTTGTTTTTTACTTATTTATAGGAAGAAATGTTTAAATGGTATTTAGAAGAAATTATTATACAGGGAGTACAAAATACATTTCTTACCGGTATTTCTTCCATCCCTCCAACCTGTTTTCATGCTATGGGTCAGGACTTAACAGCTCTCAAGAGCGTCTCGCTGAATAGCAGCAGGCTTCTAAATCTCAAATCAAGTGCTCTTCAAAGCACCTTACTTCTCTTGAGATAAAAACTTGAGGCAGGTTTTTCTATCTGGCCTATTCATCAAGTATAGTCTACTGAATTGTTGACATTTCTAAACACTAAAGGGATTTTAAAGATCTTATTGCTCTAAAGAGACTTACTTGTAGCAGGGAATAAAGGAGTGAAATGAAAAAAATACTGACAAGTATTTTTACGGACAAAAATACTGAAAAGTACAAAACTAAATAACTGCTAGAAACAACTGAAAGCAAATAACTATAATTTGACATATAGTTTCTGTACAAAACACATTTTTGATGTAGGAATCTGCTCAAATGTTCAGCCCTCCCCTCCAACTTCCAGATAAATAGTAATGATTATTTTAATCTCAGTTACTCACAGAAGTCTTGCATTGAATGTGATACCAGTTTCTGTCATTCATATTTAATATATTTGTTTCAGTTTACATTGAGTCCTACTGTCTTAGAGTCATTTAAATAAAAAGGAATTAGTGTGACCTGTCTTTTAACCTTTACCCAGCAACTTTTTATTCTGTGCTTAAACTTCCTTTAAAGCATTGGTTTGCCAAAGGGCAGTCAACGAATGCAATTTTTGTATTTTTTTTGTATAAGCAATATCAATCACTGAGTAAAAATATGCCACAGTATGTTTTCATACCAGAACAGGGTAATCCAACATCATGATATTAAATTACACTTCAATGATTTCTGAACTCTAAGATTATTTGGTAGTAATACTACAAAAGGCTTTGTTAACTGGAATTTTAAACTGTAACCCTCATGAGTCATGGTGGGTTAGTACTGAAAATAAAAGATATTAAAATATGAATTATATAATTACTACTTCCTCACCTGGGAGTTACAGGAACTGAACATACTTCCTATATCAGTGCCAGTTTTTAGGGTGAGAAGGCAATGATAGCAGAATTTTTATTTTTTCTCTTCTGGCCTGGTTTGTGCCTTAGCGTGGCGCATCTGACAGTGGT